TCCACATTAAACTGTTTAACTTTAAACAAGGGAGCAGAGGATACTCTGGCTATTCATAGGAAACAGGTTCCGGAGATCCTTGAGGACAAACTAAGCTAAAAGCTACCCACTTTTCCTACCAAGATTACCCCTTTACAAATGCTTTGAATACTTGTGGCTGCCTGTTTGCACCCGTAGCTGGGTGCTAATTTGTCTTTAACCAGCGATGGTGAAAGCAGCATGGTTAAACCCACTTCAAGATGTGAGCAAGAATCCTGACTGGCTGATCCAGACACTGTCCTGACCAGGGCACCTTCTGGGAACTCTTTCTGTTCACAATCTTCACTAGGTCAGGAATCAGTTTATCTGTGTTCGCAGCATAAGAAATGATTTGGCTCCAACCTCTTGATTCTAATATTCTCCCACCATTGCTCTACTTCTGAATTATTTCCTCCTTTGAGACTCTCAGTTGATTTAGCTCTTTCACTCAGCTCTTTCACACTGACAGACAGAAACTCATTTGATCAGAAACCAGAATGAGGCACTCTGAGCCACATTGGGCTTGGTGCTAATAAACTTGACATCATAGCAGTATTTATTAGTGGTGGTCACTGCTGTCAAACCACTGTCCTGGCATGAGCGAGGTCACCAGGAAACTTAGCTTCTGTTTCAGAGAGCTCTGATGACCCACAACTGCGTGCCCAGCTCTCCCAGGAGGCAAGGGGATCGGGGAGCGGCTGGGGTTTCCAATCCCTGACTGTGGCTGGGGTGGTCCTTATGAGGACTGAGTGGTAAAGAAGCCCCAGTGTTATTAACTGCTAATTACATCCATCCCAGTGGAATCCCACAGCCCCAGCCTAGCCCAAGAGCCTCACTATTCCCTGAGCAAACAGGCTGTAAGGAAGGCCTGGCAGAAGAATCTCCAGCCCTGCTTATAAAAAAAGATGGCGTGTGAACTGCCAACTTCACAATCACCTGGGGACTTGCTTTAAAGCACGGATATTCCCAGCTCCTGTTCATAACAATTCTGATTTCATAGGTCTAGAGTGGCCAAAGAGAGCCTGAGAATTATGGCTTGGAGGTTGAGAGAGCAGAGGGAGCCTTAGACCTTGGCAGTGGTGATGCTGCAGTGACTCTGATGACGCTGGGGGCTCGGCCTGTGGGTAGGGTCAGGGAACGAGGTCAGGCCCACACAGGGATTCAGGGTTATAACTATCCCATCTCAGCCCATTCAAAATGCATAGGAACCGCCCGGTCTCCTGTTTGTTGTTTTTTCAGTTGCCCATTTGATCCCTAGGTGGCGTCTGAAATAAAAGGGAAGCCACACTCTCCTTCCATCATGAAGAGAGAATAACAATGACGATAACGGTCATGACCAACACTTCCAGAGGATTTCTTGTATAGCAGACCCTGTGCTGAGTGCCTTATGCAGATTGTGACATTTGATCATTTTAACAAATCTGTTAGGAAAGTCCTATAATGATGCTCACATTTTAAATGGGTGTCGGAGGTTGAGTCCTGCAGTCCACACCATCAGTTGTAAGGCATGGAACGGGATGTGAACCCAGGAGGTCTGGCTCCAGGTGGCGAGTTGTCATGCCCGCCTCTGGGTGGTCATTAGGAATGTTCTGGCCCGAGCCTTCTCTCAGCCTTGCTCAGAGGCAGGAAGCTTGTGTGGCAGGGGCCTCCTCTAGGGGCTGCTCCACATCTCTGTGTCACTGAACACCTGGATTACACATCTGGCCAGGTGGCACCATCTGTCACAAGCTTGCAGCACAGTCAAGAGGTTTTCTGGGACACCAATCATTTTATCATCCAAGTAACAAGCTCAAGGCCAGAAACAGAGATGGGATTCATCAGCTTCCTGCTTTTCTGTCACTTACCAGTAAGAAATCTCTTCCTCAACTCCCACTTCATACCGGGAATTAAAACAGATGTGGCTAGATTAACTGAAATTCTCCCTTTAATTGGCCACACTGCCAGCAGCACTGTGTCACCCTTGATCAACAAGGCTGGCTACATAATTCGCAGGGCCCGGTTGCAAAATGAAAATGCACCTTGTTCAATATGCAGGAAAAAAACACCGTTCAAGGTACTGAAATATAAAGCTTTTCCTTTATAGGAAATATAAATTCCTATATACATATTATATATATCTATAAAATATATTCCTATATTTTCCTTTGCAGACTTTCTTCTGTAGTCTCTTTTGATCTGTTATAGTATTTTGTATTTGCTATTTAATGTCCTTTTAAGTAAAGAAAAATGAAAAATTTTAAATTAACAATTTTAAATTATTAGCATAAGTTTTTACCATCCATCCTAATATCGTATAACGACAGTTTCAAATGCACTATAAGAGCATTTAACTCAGATGTAGAATCACCAAAATCACACAATTTGTGTTTCATAGCTCTCACACGCATGTGTATTTTGCTTTTACCAGAACAGTGGAAAGGCTGCACAAAACTAACATACTGTTTCCATTTCAATTCTTGATACTGTGTGCCGTCTACCAACTCCCTATGATGAGTGAGGAAGGACTGAAAGGAAGAGGAACTCGGGGTTGCCCTATCTTTCCCTTTTCTTCTAGGTCACATTTTTGGGGTGAGTGGGTTGGCTAATACAAGGCAGTTACCTGGTAAGAAAGCGTGTGATGGGTTCCTGGGTCATCTGTGTTTCTTAGAACACCCTTGCCTTCTGCCTGCACTTGAAGTGAGTTCTGATTCAGATGGAAAATGTGGCCTCTCAGGGCTGTCGGTCCCCCTGCTTACTCAGTTGAAGACATAACACGCTTACCTGGTATTCATTTTGAGTCTTGCTGAACTCCCACACCTCATGGGCCCCCAGAATTCAGGAATGTGGCAGCAAGATGTGGCAGACACGCATATTGCACGGATCTTCTCACACACCCGCTCCATGGTCCTATCAGACTTCACTTGCAAAATACAAGTCCAAAAACTCATTAAGAAATTCAAGACAGCAAGAGAAGAGCATTAAACCAAACGCAGGGTCCTCCTAGGCACGGGGCTAACGTTGCACAGCCATGATGCCAGCTCTGATGATCGGTATTATAGCTAATTCAGAGAAGGGTAGGTTGAGGGCGGGAGTGAAAATTGGGGCACATCTCTCTGCATGCCTGCACTCCTCCACATTCCCTGGATGTGAAGGTCAAGATTAGCATGAAGGGCGACTGAAGGGGGCCTCTCGCAGGGAAAGGGGTACCTGCTGTGTTTGCCGGCTCTGCTTGGAGGAGTGCTGTGTGAGTTTGCATCTGATGGTGTGGATCTGAGGCTCCCAGCTGCAGACACTTGCAGCCTCAGATCTTCTCTCCTCCGGAGATGACTGAGATTCGCAAACAAGTCTGAGCTCTTTGACAATCCCAAACTGGAATGGACCTTGTAGATTAGACTAATAACAGGGAGTTCAGTGTAAGTAATACAAAAGCCAACTCAAATAATACAGAGGATTTGTTGGTTCATATCAATGGAAAGTCCCAAAATGGGTGGCGTGATTCAACAGGTGATGGATGACATTGAGGACCCGGTTACTGTTTGCCTCTCCTCTTTGCTCTTCATGTGTCAGCCTCATTCTCAGCCTGCTTCCCCTTCATGGTGGCAAGATGGTGGTCAACCACCCCCAGAGCACCTTGCTTCCGCACCATTGTCCAGGGAGGGAGAGAAGCCTTGTTTCTGGAAGTTCTATTGGAAGAGTGAGAAAGCCTTTTTCCTTACACTCAGTAAATCACCCCTCAAGTTTCCTTGGCCCTAAATGAGTCATGAGCCCATCCACCAACTAAAAACATATCCAGTGAGTACAACTCTGCTGATTAATTTTGACTAAACCTCATGCCCTTCTCCAAAGCCCAGTGGGGAGTCAGCTTGTGCCAGAGCACATAAAACGTAAAGGGCATAGGAGAATGGGGACATGGGGAGGTGAGGACACCACAACAAAAATTGGGGGGATTACCTAGAGAGGAGGGAGTGGATGCTATGGAAGCTACCATGATACCTACCTCAGAGATCCTGTCTCTGCTCTTAGGGCTGGCATCAGGACCTAGCAGAAACATAAATGTGTAATGTGGTCTAAACTTAAAAGTGGGAACTGGGGTGTAGGCCTACCCAAAAGGCAATGAAATTCATAATTTTAAAAAAACATGCTGGCCAGGCAAAACCTAGATGTGCAGGCCATTCAACAGATGAGGAAACCAAGAACCAGCGAGGGGAAGTAATTGCCTAATCCTAAGAGTTGCCATCTACTAAGCTCGTGTGTGCATCTGCTAACACATCTTAGAGAAGAGGAAAATGAGGCTTCAGGAGGTCACCCAAAGCCACACAGCTAATCAGTGACAGAGCCAGGATTGGACCCAGCCCTGTTTAACTCCCATGCCTCTGTCCTTCCCTAATGCCAGAAAGGTGAGTTGGTGGTGTGGATGGGAAGAAGGACACCAATCTAGTTCAGGGCTCTATTCCACTGTGTGTCAGTAAGAAGTTTTAGTAGATGAGGTAATATCCTGTGTTATTGGATATATAACCAAATAAACAGAAAGAGAAATAGATTTCATGAAGCAAATTCCTTAAGTGAAAAAGTGAGTTGTCAGTGACTCTTGTGAAGAACCATCTGCAGTGGGTAGAGGCTCCCAGGAAGCACAGGGCTGATCCTGGCTCTGTTCACGCTGGTGGCTTCCAGCATCTTGGCCCTGGCAGAGCAGCAGTTTATAAACTCCTCTTCTAGAAGCTGTCAGACTTTGGAGAGGTCGGGCGGGAAATCTGGGCCTTAGAATTGGCAACATGATCATTAGAGACATTCAGCTCTCTCAGAGATGCGCATCTTGGCTTGCACAGCCCCTCCCTCTCACGCTGAAGCCGCGGGCAGGCGGTGACCTCCCGCCATCTGCTGACTTCTGCGGGCTGCTGACTTGAGAGAAGGTCACGTTTCCCGGAACTCATAAGTAAACTGCAGAGAAAAGGAACTGAAAGAGCTTGTCCTCACCCAGTGCCTGCTCCTTCTGCTTGCAGCCAGCTTCGTCTCTGCGCTCTTCGCCTTCCTGGCTCTGCTGTTGTCCAGGGCCTTCACAGGTGAGTTGGCTGCTGAGCTGCTGGACGCCACAGGTCAGCCCTGTCAGGCTTCAGGATGACAGCACTTCATCTTTAAACCTAAGATGTGTGCCAGGAAGAGTTGGCCAGACCGATGATTTCCAAACACGTGTCAGTCAAAACAGAATTACTTGGTGAACATTTTTAAAGGACAGAGTCCTGGGCCCTGCGCTGGGAGGTGTTGATGCAGTATGTCTGGGGTGGAGACAGACATCTGCCCTTAAAAGTCTGTCCCCAGATGACTCTGCTACCTCCAGCCCAGGCTGGGAGCCACTGGGCCAAAGGTTTCTCAAGGCCCCTTCCCAGCTCCTCTGTTCCCATGTGGAAGGAAGCCTGTCGTGAGCAGTATGAAAATGCACCTCATGCTATGGTAATGTGGAAGAGCGCTATGCTTTTTTGCTGAATGAATGAATAAATACTTCCATAAGTCACACATATTCAACAACCTCAATTATCCGCAAGTGTGAAGTATGGGGGGTGTTGAGGGGGGAGCTTCTCAAGCAGGCAAAACTCATGGTCACGTCAGTGAAGTTAAACTCCTGCCCTTGAATGTTGCTGATGGGAGCCCCTGAGCTCTGTGCACAGAACCAAGCACCCCCGATTACATAGAGGCCTGGCAAGCCTGGAGTTCTAGGTGTCAAGTTCACAGCATATTGGAGCAGAAATGTAAAGGATATAGGAGCTATTGTTTAAAAAGACAAGAAATAACAAGTGTTGGAGGGGATGTGGAGAAAAGGAAACCCTCGTACACTGCTGGTGGGAATGTAAATTTGTGCAGCCACTATGGAAAACAGTATGGAGATTCCTCAAAAAATTAAGAATAGAACTACCATATGTTTCAACTATTCCACTTCTGTGTATTTATTCAAAGAATGTAAAAACACTAATCTGAAAAGATATATGCACCCCTATGTTCATTGCAGCATTATTTACAGTAGCCAAGACATGGAAACAACCTAAGTGCCCACTGATGGATGAATGGATAAAGAAGAGGTGATATATATGCACAGGAATATTATTCAGCCATAAAAAAGATGAAATCTTGCCATTTGTGACAACATGGATGGAACTTGACAGCATTATGCAAAGTGAAATAAGCCAGATGGAGAAAGACAATTACTGTATGATCTCACTCATATGTGGAATCTAAAACAAACAACAAACAAATGAACAAACAAAATAAAACAAACACTTGGCTACAGAGGACAGACCAGTGATTTTACCAGAAGGGAAGTGAGGTGTGGGGAGGACAACAAGAGTAAAGGGGGTCAGTTATACGGTGATGGATGGCAACTAGACTTTTGTTAGTCAGCACACTGTAGTATATACAGAAGTTGAGTTATAATTTTGTACATCTGAAAATTATATAATGGTATAAACCAATGTTACCTCAATTAAAAAAAGAGAGAAAAAGAAAAACAAGGGCATAGGAGTTGTTGCAAAAAACCCCCAGTACCCTAATTGTTAAATTTCCTGGGGCCAGCTCGGTGGCGCAGCAGTTAAGTGCGCACGTTCCGCTTCGGTGGCCCGGTGTTCGCTGGTTGGGATCCCGGGTGTGGACATGGCACCACTTGGCAAGCCATGCTGTGGCAGCCGTCCCACATAGGAAGTAGAGGAAGATGGGCACGGATGTTAGCTCAGGGCTAGTCTTCCTCAGCAAAAAGAGGAGGATTGGAAGCAGTTAGCTCAGGGCTAATCTTCCTTGAAAAAAAAAATTGTTAAATTTCCTTATGGGGTTTCATTTTGGGGTGATGAAAATGTTTTGGGACTAGATAGAGATGATGGCTACACAACTTTGTGAATACATTAAACGCCACTGAATTGTTCACTTCAAAATGGTTAATTTCATGTTATGTCAATTTCACTCAAAAAAACACATCACTAAAAAGCAAAAACATACAAAAACAGTACTCTTAGATTTGTAACAAGTGAAAGCTGACGACTTGACAGGGAATAAAAGAGCAGAACAAAATTCTAAAGTCTGCACAGAACAAAAACCAAGTTCGTCTGGGGCCCTTTAGTGTGAGGGCAACAATTCAACTAGTTCGATAGGCCCTGAGGCTATTGTTACTACAGTGCAGGTCTAGAACTAACACTGATTATATGGCTCTGATCTATCGAGAAGAATTCATCAGATGTTAGGTATACCCTGCTTAGGAAGTCGAGTTCCCTTAAGAAAATGTCCTATGTAAAAAATCTATCGAGAAAAAGATAGATTTTTATCGAGTAAAAAAAAAAATGCTTTTGGAGCCTGTGGCTAAGTTATCTGGAAAATGAACTTAACTGGAACAATTCACTCACTAACAAGGCTGCATAAATGAGGTAAGACCCCACATGGCAATTCCCATGGACCTGGTCTTAAAATCGCTCCATCCACTGTGGGAAGTGGGTGTTGGGGAGTTACTGCCTAATGGTTAAAGAGTTCCTGTTCGGGGTGATGAAAACATTTTGGGGGTAGATAGTGACCACGGTTGCACAAGATTGTGAATGTAATTAGTGCCACTGAATTGCACACTTAAAAATGATTAAAATGGTAAAGATTTCCTTAAATATATTTTATCACAATAAAAAATGTAAAAAAAAAATAATTTAAAAGCCTTCATAATATTGCCCCCGCCAAAGAAAAACACTCCCTCTTGTGGTTGTTATCAACCGTATGGGGCGAGTTCTAAGCCTAAAGAGGTTAATGGTGATACTGCAGATCAGACAGAAAGAAAATCTAGATGGAGTGTAGGTCCTGAGCAATACGTGCAGAACACAGGGGGAAAGACACTTTTATTAAGTGTATTAGGGTCCTTTTAAGCCATCTGTGCACTGACTGACTCTCCTGTGCGCAGCAGCTGTTTTTATTCACTAGGAATGAGCAGACATATAAGTCATTACTCAATGTTCATTTCACAGCTAGGTTTTGGATTGAAAGGCAGTTCATATCTGACAAATTTGGCATCAAGTATTTAAAGGCGTTTGTGTGAGAAGGTTGTGTAGAGACTTGGAAAGTATTTCCATCTAATGACGGAGTTAGCAAACATCAGTGCTGTCTAGGAAGGTAAGCCTCCATAGGCTGATGATTGGATCAACGTGTAGATTAGACTTGATTCTGTTTGGGGCTCTGAATTTGTGGGTATCTGTTTACCTAGAAATTTTTTAATTTCAATGGAACATGATGCAGTCATAGAAAAATGGTTTACATCCTTTGCTTAAGAACCAAGGGATTCATGGGAAATAAAATGTTAAGTCAAAGCTAAAACTTCGCGTCCTTTAAACAGAAGACTTTGGTTCTACAATGAACATCCCTTGTCTTGGGCTCTGTTGACGAGTGTACTGGTCAGGGTATCTTAACTACGCTGCGTTAACAAGTTAATCCTGGAATCTCAGTGGCTTAACACGGTAAAGGTTTGTTTCTGGCTCATGCAAATTCCAGTGTGGATCAAGAGCCTCTGCAGGACCCCAGGGGACTCCTCTGGAGATGAGATGACTCAGTACTCTAAAGATCTCATCTCAGGGTTTCCATGTGGTCAGAGCAGGAGGAGAAAACGAAGGATCATGTGTCAGTTTTGAAATGCTTTGGCCCCAAGGTGTCCCACAGCCCATTGGTTGGAACTAGTCTCACAGCCCTGGGGACCCTCAAGGGGACTGGGAAATGTGAGGGCAGCTGCTGAGCCATCAATGTCTCTGACACCTGGTCATTTGAGCCAGATTGGTCACTGAGGAAAATAGGCATTTCTTTCTTATATTTTAAATAATTTATCACCTGTGGTTAATAATAGGCCTAGAAGACAAGGACCTGAGAAAAGCTGAGAAAGCATTGCTGTGGGGAGCAAAATTACCATTAAGAAAGAACGTGGGTCTGGGTCAATTGATTTGGTAGTTTTCCAAACCTAGTGGCTAAGGATATGTCAGTAAATGCACGATTCCCAGCTTGGGGTCAGGTGAGTGACCTGGTCAACGATGATAACATGGTGCCTGTGACCAACACAACGGAGGGCTCCGCCAGCTCCTCCAGGCCACCTGGGCCCTGGAAGCAGAGGAAACGTGAGCCTCAGTTTACACAGTGGATGCATTTCGGGAACGTGACATATAAACTGAATCTTCTTTTAAGCATATCAAGGGACCTGGATATTGAAAGGGATTCTTTGAATGCTTTTGTAAAATGAGTCATTGAAAACATGAGTTGTCATACGCTGGCTTTTCGTAAAAGCAGAGCACACTCGTAGCCAGTTAACACTCAGACAGAAGGTGCAGTGACATCTGGCCACTGCTCTGCCTCGTGTCTGCTGGACTGCTGTTCAGTCCACTGACCATCCTGAAGATCAGGCAGCCGGGGAGACTGAGGCTCCCCAAGCGGGGGATGGAGGTATGGTTTATGTGGTGAACATTTTGGCTCTTGTAGACATTTAATTCATCTTCTTAACGGGCATTGTGCTCTTGAACGCATTTCTCTCATTCCGATCCTGTTCTCTCTCCTTTGTAGGAGTGAAGTTTTTGGAGGATGACCCCATCCAGCCCTGCATTCCTCTATATTTGCTAGTGAGTGGGATCGTCAGGGCCTTAATGGTAAAGTATGTTTATTCTTTGTTTGTAGATCGTGTAGAAATTTACATTACAGGCACTGTGGAATGCATCCTTTAATTATTACTCACAGGGGAGCCAGAACAACTGCTCCCTAAGCACAGGGTTGTTGGAGCGACAGGGTGAGGTGGATTCTAAGGCCTGGAGCAGAGATGTGGATCTTTCCAGATGAGGAGCACTCACCCAGAGCTGTGCATGTTTGCAACAGCTTCCCTCCTGCTGCCCCGAGTTCAGTGTGCTAACACTGGTCTAACAACAGTTGACGCAGAGGTGTTACCAACTGCCAATTAGACCATTGACTTCAGCCGGTGTAATTGCAGCTTTCCTCTGGGCTTCTTTTAAAAGAGTTTCCTGTGTAAGGCAGTAGAGTTTGCATTTGGTTAAAATGTGTTTGACTTTAGCAGTTCTAATTTCTGTTTTTAACTATAGCTCCTAGTTCTCAATTGACTAGCATAGAATTAATTGGCTGCAGTCATCAATCAAACGTCAAACTCTCATGTTTGGGGCTGGAAGTGCTTCTTCATGACTCTCAAGCTTATGTCAGTGTAGGGAGCTGATTTGCTCAGGGGTTGAATAGACATCTGTTTAAAGAGGAAACGTAACTGAAGAAGAAATATCCAGGGTGGTGCATAACCTGCAGTTAAGTTGGCAAAATTCCTGGCCCACAGAAACGTCACAGCTGCCAAAAGTACCTTAGGTCTACCTCCATTTTTCAATGACCCTTCACAACCAACCAAACCCACCCCAAAGCTTCCTGTATCAAAAGCTAGAAAACACAAGTACTGTTTTTCCAAAATGGTTTCATAAAAATGAAGCAATGACACAAGAAAAAAAATTCAGAATGCCATATATAAAATTTCATTTGGACCCACTGTCTGATTCCTTTGACAGCTTCCTTCTGGTGCTTGGGGCCTTCAAAAATGCTGATCAGTGGCATTGGTCATGCTATTGATCTAAGACATCAAAGGAATGTCTTAAAGATTGCTGTTTTCCCATGCAATCAGTAGCCACAAGCTCAATTCTGTCTTGGGGAACATGTCTGATTTGGGGCAAGCATGTGGAGCCTTTTGAGGTTACCTCACTACTAATGCCCTCATCTCCTGACAGCAGCCTGGTGGACAATGTTCCAGAATGTACAAATATACATGATCCTTCCTATAACAACATCCCCATGGGATCCACCTGGGCCTCTGTTTAGCTCCAAGGAAACCCAAAGGCTCTCAGCTCAACGGGGCTGCACATCCCCCGTGGCCCCACAGTGTTAGGGGAAGGCTCTGATGGATTGAGTGCCATAGAGATGCTCAAAACAAGGGCAAAGTTTTCAGCAGTAATCACCTCTGCCCCACCCTCCCTCACTCAACTACTTCATCATCAGGCTGCAAAGTGGAACTTTCCTTTAGAGATGTTACAGTCCATGGGGTCTGTTCCTCTTAATAACAGCAAACTTTTCCTTTATGAAAGCCAGCCCAGAACCCAAAGGTAATTTATTTTAATGAACAAACTAGGGCCCTAATAAACAGCATTGATTTTTTTTCCTGGCAGTCTAAAACTGTTTGAAACCAAATTAAATTTTTCTGTTTGTCATAGCGAGGTAACACACAGTGAGTCCATAACCATGAGAACAACAGCAAACAGGTTTATCGAGCCCCCAGATGGAGAAGTTCACCAGTGATGCCAAGGGTTCATATTGACCCCTGAGAACACTGCATAGTGATGCTCAGCATCTTTTCTGGAATGCATCAGATAGCACCATAATATTGTATTTTATTGAAGAGAAAGTTTAGAAGTAAGTGGACATTTCCCAGTGTTACCAAAAGAACTGAGGATCAAGACCCATTAGAAGGTTATGAAATGAATTTAGCAGTTTGTGACCACTTAAACAAAATAAAATAGAGAATATTAGAGTGTCTCCCAGTAAGTTAAGTATTGTGTGATACACATGTGCTTAGGTAAGTTGACCATATAATTTATGATCTACTGGGGCACATTTGAGAGTACAAGGGGGTTCTAAGAATAATCATGCCAGGAAAATAGCATAAACCAGGACTTCTTTGAGCCGATGAGGACATATGGTCACCCAGTTACTAGGTCATGAGGTAAAATGCATTTGTTACTTGTGTACTGTTGGCAGGAATATAAACTGGTGCAGCCACTACAGAAAACATGGAGAGTCCTCAAAAAATTAAAAATAGAACTACCATGTGATCCAGCAATTCCACTTCTGGGTATTTATCCAAAGAAAATGAAAACACTAACTCAACAGTGCTGTTCATTAAAGCACTATTTATAACAGCCAAGACATGGAAACAACCTAAGTGTCCATGAATGGATAAAGAAGTTGTCATATATGTGTGTGTGTGTATATATATATAATGGAATATTATTCAGCCATAAAAAAGGATGAAATCTTGCCATTTGCAACAAAACGGATGAACCTCAAGGGCGTTAATGCTAAGTGAAATAAGTCAGACAGAGAAAGACAAATACCATATGATCTCTCTTATATGTGATATCTAAAAACAAAAAAAAACAAGAAAAAACCAAGCTCATAGATACAGAGAACAGATTGGTGGTTGCCAGAGGTGGGGGACGGGAGGTAAAGGGGGTCAAAAGATAAAACATGTATGCACAATAGGCTGAAATTTTAAAATCTTAATTAAATGAAAAAAAATAAAGGCTCTAATACTTAAGGACATAAGCTAAAAAAAATGGATTTGTTACAAGGGATCTGTTAGAAGAAATTTTCAAAAACACTGATTTAGTGGCCCTTTATCTACCTCACACTCCACCTCATCTCCAGTATCCCCCTGCTTAGTGATAACTGCCACCACCCAGTAGCACTTACGTGCTACTTGTTCCCATTTTGGACTCATTCAGTCCCCACAACACCCCTTTAAGGCAGGTACTTGTATCAGGAAGGAACGAAAAAATCAACTCTGGCTAACACAACAGGTAATTTATTGGAAGAGCTCACAACTTCAAAGGTCGGTGCAAGAGAAGGGACCCAGGTGGCTCCGGAGAGGCTGGGCAAGGGCCCTACCTACAGTTTCTCCGGGGCCAGCAGTGAGAGGAGTGAGCCCCAGCCTGCTGCTCTCTCCGGGTGTCCCTGTGCCCAAGAACCCGTCCTGGGAGGGGAGCCAGACCCGTGGATTTGGGGTGTCCTGCTGCCACCTGGTGTGACAGAGCGTGGGGAAGGTGCATCCAGGGAGGGCAGGTACCAGGATTTGTGCTCCTGTAGACATGTGATGGATGGGGACATCCCTCAAGGAATGGAGCCCTGCTGGGAAGGGAAATGGGTGGTAAGTGACCAGAACCTAGACTGTACAGTCAGCTCCAGTGTACAGACAAGGAAACTGAGGCTTAGAGGTTGCTTCTCTTGAGTTTACACGGAGTAAACGGCAGAGCTGGTGTTCAACCCACACTTGACTGACCTCACAGTGCCCCTTGGCTGCCCTGCTCCAGTCAAACTGGTTTTCTCCTCTTCCCCAAACCCTTCACATTTGCTGCACCACTCCCACTCCAAGGAGATCCCTCTCACCTCTCCCTGCTCACAGGGGTCTGGAGTATGCCCCCCTTTCCAAGAAGCCCTGCACGAGTCAACTCTATGAAGGTGGCTCTCTGGACTCCTCTAAACCCTCATTTTCCTCTTACGGAAATGTTCTGCCTCCCAGCCAGGCTGCAAGTCTTATTCCTGGAAAACCTGGGCATTTGGGCCAAACGGGAGCACCCTCCCAGCATAGGAGAGAACCCCTTTGCCTTAACATCCTCTGATTTAAGCATCAGTGTAGTGTGGTATAGACGGTGGTCAGAGGTGTGGACTGACACCCATTTCATCCTTTTATTTGCTATGGACCTAGGTGAAGTGATTTAACTTCTCTGAGCCTTAGTGTCCTCCTCCATGAACCAAGGATAATAGTATATGGCTCCTGGGTTAGTATGAGTATGAAATGAGGTCATACGGGCTAAGCATTGGGCGAACCACTTTTACTTAGGTTTTGCTATCTTTTCATAAGTAGTAACTGTTGATTGCAGAAAATAGGAGAATTCGGATAAGCACAAAGAAGAAATCAAAATCACCTGTAAGTTTCACCACCCAGAGAAACTCGCTGTTGACATTTTGGCCTGCTGACTCCAGTTTTGGCCCTCCCATCTATGCACATATTAATTTAACACCTCTCACCTCAGGTTGCTGGGAGAATTAATCAAAACAATGTGCATCAGGCATTTACCCCAACACGGGGCCTCCCTTTGCATCACACCCATTCCTGGCGTCACTCTCACCTCTGCACACATACCTCCCAGGTCTCCATCACCAGCCCTCACTTCTCACTCTTCACCGCCATGCTCTGAGTCCACCTTCCGGCTGGTCACCGCTACCCACATTTCCATCCAGAATTTTAAATGCGACAAGTCCAAGCGTGAGATCATCATCCACTCAAAGGTACAGCTGGGGCTCCCTGTCTTGACATCATGCATATCAAGGAAGGAAATGGATCTCCCTCAATATTATCACCAATTTCCCTGCCCTGCTCTCCATCTCTCTTGATATCATCAGCAGCTTCACTGCCCTGATTTGGAATGCAATTTGCCACATCTATTGGCTCTGTCCTATCCTTTTATTTAACTCGGACTCAAAATCTCTCCCCAATCTGCCACGATCTGGGTTATCGAAGGATTTTTTCTGAAGCCCAGTTCTCCATGGGTTGGGGTGCCATGAGGTTGACCTTAGGAGAGGTGGGGAGCCTGAGAATCTAGACAAGAGCAGATAAACAGGTTTGGCTTTCAAAAGACATCAACAATCACGTTGCTAGACAAAGGGAAGACAGGGAACAGGGATTTCTGAGCAAAGAAGACATGGGTTCTGTCGTGGTTGCCTTGTCGGAGGGAAGGCCAGTCAGGGTTGGGTGGGATGGTGGTTCTTTGTGTAATAAAATGGGAGCAGAGTTTCAAAGGGTGTCAGGATGGAGCCAGGAACCATTCACCAGGAGTGAGATGGTCTTTGTCCCCCAGGAATTATTAGCAAAGGTATTGCTCAAAGGACTGGAGTCTGTGCTCCTGACTTGATAGATGCGTAAGGACAGGAGAGACACACTCTCACTCCATGGCCACACTTGGGAATTCTGGCTACCTGGAGACAGCAAGTGGTGGAAACGTCCAAGAGAAGAGAAAAGGAGGCTGGAGGAGGCGTTGGGGGGTGGGTGGGGAGAAGAAAGGACCCGTGGGATCTGGAATTGACCAGGCCTATGAAATGGCCTGGCGGTAGCAGGAAAGTCTCCTGGGGTTCCTCACAGGATGGAGGGGCCTCCTGCCAGGTCCTCTAGCATCTGGTGCAGGTGTCCACGTTATAATGTCCTGTGTGGTGGAAACATGCTCAGATAACAGAAAGGAAAATCTGTCCAACCTGGCTCCTGATCATAAGTGTACTGCACAGCGACTGGGCAAACAGAAACTGTCAGGGGTTGAGAAGACAGTGGGGAAGATGCCTGGGGCCTCGGGTCAGAGAGAACGAGCCAAGGGCATCCCTGAGCCTTGAGCCATGTGTTGTGACGGAGGAAAGCCATGAGGAGGTGGAAAGGGGAAGGTTCCCCAGTTGAGACTTACCCTGTGCTGAGCAGACAGACCTCCCAGGCTACCCCAGCGATTACTTACTCCCACCCCGAGTCTGTGAGTCTGGAAGAGCAAGAGGTAGCCAGGGCAACAGGTGACACACCTGAGCGGGCACATGAGTGGGCACACACGTACACATGCACACAGCATGTACACATACTCACCCTGGGCCAAGAGAAGGGTCCTGAGGCTCCTGCCCTCGGCTCCCTGCCCCTGGTCCCTTGTGGGGGGACCACACTGTGGCTTCAGCAGTTACAGCAGTTCTCGACTCAGACATTTTCAGTGGTGCCTCTTCACTTACAGAAATACCTCCTGAGTGCCCTTTCTCAGCCCAGTTTCTTTTTTTACTTATTTTTTCACATTTCTTAAGAGTTGAGTACACTGGCTTCCCCACCACTCAGCTTCTCTTTGCTTCTCTGCAATGGGGTTTCCACCCCCATAACCCTGCTGAAGCTGCTCTCATTGAGGTCTCAATGGCCCCTCCACGTTTCCAAGTTCAAAGGTCAATTTTTAGTCCTTATTTTTCTGAAGCCCCCATCCCTTCAACAAGAGGCTCAGAAACAGGTAATTACTATAGAGTGTGGTAGCGAAATAGTAGAGATACACGTGGAGGGCTGTGGAAACCCAGAAGAGAGATTCCTCATCCAGCACAGCGAGGTCCTGGAATCCTTCCTGGAGGAGGTGATCTCTATCTGGATGCTTATGAAAGAGTCAGGTTGGGGAGCAGAGGGGTTCCAGGCAGAGAGGATAGCATGAGCAATGGCCTCAGAGAGAAGGAGCCCACAGTCCGTGCAGGCAGATGAGAAGCTGCTCCATTGCTGGGACATCAAGCACTTCTGTAATAGGCCAGGCCCACACACACTGGGCTGGGTGTACAGCGGTGAACAAAACAAACCTGGACCCTGCCCTTCCCCTCTAGTGAGGGGAGAATTACTGGCGGCACACCAGCAGGGTGGGTATTGGTTGGTACACAGGTGAGCAGCAGGGAGCATCCCAGGTTGCTGGTTGGACAACGTCATCAAATGAGTGGAATGTGGAAGATGATGAGCTGTGTTTTCAACATACTGAGCCTGAGGGCCTGAGAACACTCAGTGGAGCTGCCCAGTTGAATTCACATGAGTCTGAAGTTTGGGCAGAAAGTTCTGGAAGGGAGCTGCAGACTTGGGTGCCATCAGCCTGTAGGTGGGTGGGGTCACTCAGAGATCATGCAGAGGGAGAGCACTATGGCCGAGGACAGGGCCTGGGCCACATTTGAGGGTCACCATGGATGGAAGCCGATGGAAGAGGCAGAGACACAGAATAGTTTGGTGGGAAAGATGCCAGCATTGGCTGAAGACAAACCTGGTGTTACACTCTGGTCCTTCCACTTTTTACACATGTGACCTTGGCCAAGTTCCTTAACCTCTCTGGTCCTCAATTTCCTTGTTTCTAAAGTGACGAAAGTAATGTGCATTCCATACGGTTGTTTTAAATAAGGCAACATGCCTCAAAGCACTTAGTGTCTGGATCAGTCAGCGCATCCTGCCATAACAAGATGTCACAGACTGGGTGACTTATACAACAGACATTCATTTTCTCACAGTTCTAGGGGCTGGAGGTCCGAGATCAAGGTGCCAGCAGATTCTGTTCCTGGTGAGGACTGTCTTCCTGGCTTGTAGACTGCCACTTTCTTGCTGTGTCCTTACATGGACTTTCCTCAGTGTGTGCGGACAGACGGCGAGCTCTGGTGTCTCTTCCTCTTCTTATAAGGACATCAATCCTATTGGATCAGGGCCCCACCTTTATGCCCTCATTAAACCTTAACTACCCCCTATCTCCAAATACACTCACATTGGGGGTCAGGGCTTTAACATGTGAATTCAGGGGGGATGAAATTCAGTCCATAAGACTGTCTGATACAAAGTGGGTACTGAAAAAGTGGTAGCTTGAGAAAAAAAAAGGAGCATCTGAAAGGGAACAGGGAGACCCAGGAAAATGAGGCAAGAAGACCCTATGCACTGAGCACGTGGAGCATGCTCTGAAATTGGATAGAGGGAGTTGATCGGGGTCTATCGGAGAGCAGTTTTATGGGATGGTGTGAGGAGGAGAGAGGGTTTGCAGCTGCCTTTAAGAAGGGTGGAGGGGCCAGCGCAGTGCCGCAGCAGTTAAGTTCTCAGGTTCCCCTTTGGCGGCCCGGGGTTCACCGGTTTGGGTCTGGGAGCAGACCTTCACACTGCTTAAGACACGCTGTGGTAGGCGCCCCACATACAGAGGAAGTTGGGCACAGATGTTAGCTCAGGGCTAATCTTCCTCAAAAAAAAAAAAAAAGGAAGGGTGGAGAGGCTTGGAGGAGGAAGCATGATGGTAATCGGGGAGGATCCCGGATTCTGTGTTCGGGAAGTACTTGAGAATGTTCGTCAGCGGAGAGGAAGAACCAGTAGAGAAAGGAAGTGGATCATGTAGGACCTGGCTGAAGTCACAAGATTCTGAGAGAAGTGGATGGCGATGAGGTCCCCTCACCTTACAAATCCAAGAGAAAGAAGGTCAAAGGAGAATGCGGGGACATAGGAAAGAATTGTAGGGAGGGGACTAGGAAGTCGAGGAAAATTCACAGTTGTGAGTCTGTTTGCTAAATGAATTAGGAGGGAAAAGGGGAGAGAGAGGGAAGAAAGGTCAGTGGACCCTGTACAGTGATGAAGATTTGGAGTGGTCTTTTCAGAACGTGAGAGAATTACTCAATATCAAGGAAAAGAACCTATGAGCAATACTGGAGGTCCACCTGCAGCTGGAGACGTGACTTTGTCACGACACCCATTGTGTAGTGATGGCAACCAGTGGGAGCCAGTGGGAGCACAAAGGCAGATGCAGTTTCACCCGGGTTTGGAGTTTTGCTGGGAGAGTTTAGTGGAAGGACAGGAATGCAAGGGAGCTAGGAGAGAAAAATACAGATAAGGAACCATGAGGTCCAGGATGGGAGAAGGGAGAGGTGAGACCATCCAGTAGAGTGAGAATGGCTGTGCCTGAGTGCCTGGGAGAAAATGGAAGGGATAAAAGGACCAGAAGTCTCTGTGAGGTTGAATGGTGCCGTGGGAGTGAGGGAATGAGAAAGTGGGACAGGAGGGCACCAGCTGTCAGATGCTGGGGGGAGGCGGGCTCTTCCAGCTGATGATTGATCCCGGGTGTGGTCATGGGAGGACGAGGAGCAGGTCATTGGAGCCAAGGAGGCCCAGGAACTGACCTCAAGGCCGAGGAAGGGAACCAGAGCAACCGCGAAACTCTGGGTGCAGACATGAACTTCAGTCAACTGATCTCTGAAATCTGTCTGAAGCAACTCACACATCTAAAAGGCGAACGCCTCCGAGAATGTTGACTAAGCACTGACGCCTTCATTCTTGCCAGTTCTAATTCTTCAAAATCAAATTTCACTCTTTGGCAGCATTTCCAACTCCAGTGTGTGCACTTTTCATAATAAATTTCTCTCTCTCTGTTTCTCCCCCACCTTCCGTCCCCTCTCTTCCCCCTACTTTGCTGCTCTGCCCTCTGACCCCTCACTTTCTATCACAATCCAGGTGTCACTCCTGCTGTACGACTCCACCAGGATGAAGTGGCTTCTTTCCAACTCCGTGGTGATCGATGATGATGATGATGGTACATACCCCTGGAGGCAGAATGTGCACAAATGTTATATCTACATCATCCTCAGCTTCCTCCTCTTTCTCTGGTTCATCCTGGGAAATTACTGGGTCTTTTCTGTTTACCTGCCTGATTTTATTCCACCTTTCCAGCAGCCTCAGGATTACCGTGAGAAAACCCTGTACCTCTTTGCAGTTGGGGTCCTCGTGCTCAGCCACAGTGTACTGCTCTTACTCGTCCCGTGCAGTGGTTGTGTCTATGTCTGGTCCAGGAGGAGATCTGCTGTCGATGAAGACAGGACCACCACCTCCAGCACACACGCTCATGCACATGCACACAGGTATGCATGCACTTAACACACAGACACATGAACACACACAAACACAGACACGTGCACATTGTTGCAGGAGAAGAGCATGCTGTAAAGGCAGTAATACTTTCCCTGCAGGCATTTGAGAAACTACCGAAATGTACTGAGTATTCCAGCAGACTGAAGAAACTCTTGCCTTTCAGAGTGGGAATTTTGCACTCATAAGAGTTTTCAAGGGATTATTTTTTTTGAGGGGATGAAGTAAGGGAGGTGAAGAATGGGAGACCTTTTCAAATCACGGTGCAATTCCAATGACTGTTACAAGAGCGAGGTTTGTTGTTGTTACTATTGCTGCCTCTGTGCTGTCATCCAGCCAGGGGCACCTTTAAGTTATAGAAAGAGCATGGACTTTAAATAAGACACATCTTAGCTCTGCTTGCAGCGATGGCTTTTGTTATCAAAAGGAGAAAGATGCTCTTACTTAATGACTCCAGCTGCCTTTTAGGAAAGTTAAGGAGCACTCTTGTTCACTCCCAAATAGATGGGTTTGAGCTGGTAGGTACGGGCCTCCCAAGGACAGTTATAAAACCTGCCAAGGTCAAGGAAGCAGATTCTACATGGGGGCTCTGGGCTGGCCCAGTAGCCTAGTATCGTAGAGAGCAGCCATCCTTTCACGGTGGGCTCTGTGTGGTGTCTCTGCTTGGCCTCGAGTCTGCTTCTTTCCCTGGTTATCTGAGTACGTCTCTGTGATTTGCTGATGGCATAAACCAGTTTTGTGTGTTTCTGCTGGGCTGTATGCAGTGTTGTTAATGTAGGTATTTTTTGGTCTCTGAGTTTAAATACTACACAGTAGTAAATCTACTTAACGCCAGGTTAGGGTTTGGAAGCCTTCCGTAAACCCATTTGTCTGGAAGACCAGGAGGACACCCAACAGCGATCGCTAATATCCCCTCTCGTTGTTGTTGTGAGTTGAAGTTCCTGGGAGCTGGGGGACCTGTCAGTGTGTCTGCCCTTGCGGGGGAGTTTTCATCCTTTCGAATTTTAGATAAAGACTCTGTCATGTGTGTTTCTAGGGGCAGTGCCCAGAGGGAGCGTGGCACCTGCGTAATTGTGCTTCTATCTCAGTGGCACGCACAAACCAACCCCTGAGTGGCCATCAATGACGGGCACCTCCCTTTGTGAGAAATATCAGCTCAAACCAAGAGGCTCTCTCCTCTCTGTAGCTTTAAGAGAACAGGACCCGTGAGTTCCATGGAGAGTTCCCACTGAGTTTGGAGGCACTCTCTGGGCATCTGTTACCTAGAGTCACGTTTGGTCCTGGTTTCCCTCCCGGATAAGAAGAAGGTGCTGCCTGCGCCCTCCGCTGGGCAAAGGGGGGAAAGCCCTTATTCTGCCCCATCCCTCTGCACACTTTCTGGTTTCATTTTCACTTGAGCAGTGGAACAAGATCAGGGGCTGAGCAACTTGTGAATCCTGCCCTCATCTTGATGTCTCATGCCATTCTCAATGTGCCCTTTATCGCCCCTTCCATGCTGGGGTCCCAGGAGAGTCTGCAGGTGCAGACAGTGGGGCAGGCAAGGCGTTCCATGGGCAACCGTCCCACCCTGCTTTCCCCAGAGATGACTCATCAGTCACTCCCAGACACTAAGCTAATGTTTGGACACAAATGAACACAGCTGAAAGCCAACAGAATTCATTTCTAAGCTCAGTCCAGGCCACACAGCAACCAGCACCTCCCTTAATGTCCCTGACACTAACTCCTGAGCAGGAGACTCAAGAAGAATGTCCAGGCTCTAGCCTAAAAAAGTAAGCCAAGGCTGTACAGACAGGTGGGGGAAGCTGGACTCTGTATTCATGGAGGAGAATGGCCTGACCCCCTCTGGAGAGGCAGGCTCCCCCGGCACACAGGGACCACACCACTGGCTCAGGCACACTGTAGCCTAGGATGGCAAACAGGTTTGTTCTCTCCCACTTGCTCCAGTCATAGCTGTACATTGTGTTGGGAATGACTCTGCGGCTGCATCAAGATTCAGCAAGAAAGAGTGCTGGGATTCAAGAGTCATGCCTGCCTGGGGCACGGAGGGGAGGGGGCAACAGCCATGCCATGATCGACAACTCCACCCACACGGTCCCATGGGGTGACTCTGGGGTTCTGGGGACTGAGAAATTGGAGATTCTCCCACTCAGATCTCAGCACTGTCCTCCCTTCACAGTGATACTAGGATACTTTGCTGGTGGCCTCGTGAGGGGCTTACGAGGAGGAGTCTGGCCACAGAGAGACTATGAGAAGGAGAGGATGCACAGCTGCCTCCTCTCCTCCCTGAGGGTGTGTATCACTGACTCTGCCTCCTCTGTGAGCACCCAAGACCTGAGCCCCGGGAGCCTGCACTCCTCCCACACGAGTGCTTCTGAGCTTTGTTGCTGGGGCCTTGGCAAAGGTAGAAAGAGCTTGCGAAAAAATCCTGGGCATAAAATGCCTGTTAGCAGCTTGTAAATACTGGCTAGCGCTTTGGGCACCTCAGCAGGCAGGCCTCGAACGCTGGAGAGTCCCAGTTTCTGACAGGCGGGAATCTCCCTGGAGTGTTGCAGAAATCTTTATCCTGGTATAGACGACGACCTATCGACTATGCCTGTGGAAGCAGCAAAACATTCCTTTGCCCAGAAACGGCTTGGTGCAAGGATTTATTTCCTTCCTTCCTTTCGCTATTTACACCTTATTTCACAACAAATTTGGATGGTCTTTAACTACTATATTCGATAAAACAGAAGGAGAATATATAGCTAAAAATAGAACTGTAGGAAAAGCTAGATGGTTAGAAAGGAGAGGTTCTCTGTTTTTTCCCACCCCTACACACCAGATTCTCACTGTAGAGAAAGTGGTGAAGAAGTGTCCTCATTCTCCTATGTCCCCCTCCCCAGTTACAGTGGAGAGTGTTGGTCATAGGTCCTGAATAAGTGCTAAAACCTGGACTAAATTGGTGGCTTTGGGTTTCCTCGCCACCAAAGCAGTAAAGAAAATATGATGATCAGCTATGGGTTGCACATTTTCCATGGAGTCAAAAATATGCTCCCCATCCGCTCCCCACCAAGAAACACAGGTTAAGTCTGAACGATCATGTTCCTGTGCATCAATTCATAGAGGGGACACTGAGAGATCCAGAGGGTGACATCTTCAGCATGCTGTACCAACACACCAGCAGGCTGTGAATGATAATGTACTAGGGCCCCTTCAATGGTGGTGCGATGGTTATGATGAGGTACATTTCAGGACAGAAGTTCTGGGGCCAAGGCAAATGGCGCACAACTGGAGTTCTCTGAAGTCTGGCTTACCAGAGGTGACTTCCAGATTGTCTAGGAAGTGATGGGCTGCATGCTCTTTAAGTAATTCCCAGTTAGTATCATTTCCCTCATCTGGGCTTTTGACAGAGATGAGCATAGGAAGCTCATGGTTATAATTGCTGACAGGACCCTGGAGTGCAGACATTCTATGCTGGTGTTAAGTGGGCTGAACATACCTGGAGACTGGAATCACCTGGCCAACAGTGACCAAAAGACACGACCACCTCTTGTGTGGAAACGTCATAAGGTAACAGTATTCCAGGGAAATGAACATGGTAACACCTGAACTTTCTGGATGTTATGAAAACTCAAAGAACAAATCCGTATAACTGGGAGGGATTGTTCTCCTCTGAGAAAAGATTGCTGCAAAGGTCAACTACACATTGAAGTCATTTAATTTTATTTGCTACATTGGGCATCATGCTAAAAACCTTCTTGTTCCTATTCTTTGCCTGAATCTACAGAGACGGCAGTTGAAGGCAGTAAAAATGGACCGTTTCACTGGGGTCAGCCACATTACTGGTTCTCACACCTCAGTGAACCATCAGAACCACCCAAGGGTTTACTCAAAGTGGAGAATCACAGCACCCAGAGATTCTGATTCGTGGGGCCCCACTGATTCTGATTCTGCAGGTCAGAGAACCACACGTGCCCTCAGACCACATAGGAGGCACAGACTGACCCTGACTGTCCCATCTTGGTTATGACCATGAGGCAGTATGATACTACCTCCAGTATTTCATGTTATTTTCATTTGATTCAGCATGAGAAGAGAAGAGCCACAGTGGTCCGTAACTTTCATGTTTGTATAACTGAATCTTGTGCTTCATTTCCTTGTGGGCATTTTTCATTGTTGGTGAAATAAACTTGGTACAATTTGTTCCTTCATGCCTTCCCTGAAGACCCTGGGGGAGATCATCCTCCAAGCCTGGGGACACTTCACTAGCTCTTTCTTCCAGTGGGATTACCATGGGTCCAGACTTTGTACACAGAAGCTGACAACCATTGGGGACCCATTCTAGGCAAATCTTGCTCCATCAAACTCATAATCCTCAGGTGGGTAGATGAGTTTGTAGCGGAGATTCTAGGAAAATGAATTAACAGAAAACCCTTCTTACTGATTCTAGAGGTAATTTCTCTTTTTATGAGCATGGAACTGGGAACAAAACAAATTTCTCTTCCATAGAAATCGAATTTCAGTAGTTCCCTCTTCAGGTCAGCTTGGTGTCATGGCAGCCAAGTTATCTTGGGAGACAGCATTTTGCTACTGCTAGCACAAATGAAATAGGAGGGGAATGTTTTTCAAATACATCTTCTATTGTTTTCTCTAGAACACTTCCTTTGTTGAATAAGTTAGCTTTTAAAGCTTAAAACTTTCTTTCTGCATTGTATGGAGGTAAAACTCCACTTCACAGGCAAAGAACAGGCAACTTGTCCTTTCTGCTTGCACCATACCAGGCGTGGGACTAAGGGTTTACACATACTACATGTTCTAATTGGGCTCCTAAAATGTCTCGTGACTCAAAATGTCCCTCTGTCCTGACTGCCTCCTATTCACCCTATTGGTAAGGGGAGGGACCCCTGACCTAAATATCATAGCCAAATGCACCACAGCTGACACTGAACCGATGAGATTGACAGCAGTTTATTAGTCACCCACACTCACAGCCTGGGGGAGGACACAGCACACTATGCAGGCCACATGGAGGTTACACATAGGAAGAGAGTGAAGAACCAGGGCTGTGAGGGGTCATGCTTTGTAGTAATAAGAGGGTGGGATAACCTCTGGTTCCCGTGGGAGGATGTGATTGGCTTGTTTGAATAATGTCACTGGCTGGCAGGAAGCCGAGGCCCACTAGGTTGAGGACTGGGTGGTGTGCAACCAATCTGACTGGGAGGGCAACAGCCAGGTGGGGAGACCTTCTCGCTGGGTCAGGGGCATGTCTGGTGAGAGCAGGTGAATTCTTGGTTAGGTCTTTGGGTCTCTGTGAAGCTCAAGGATGTCAAGGCTGCCTGTGAAATTTTAGGCCTTACAATACACCTTCCAGGATCAACCCCTGCCTTTAGTAATTGGCCATATTCCCTGGGTTACTTAGTCCTGGTTTCAAAGCTGACTTTGAACTTTCTCAATAACCCAAGCAGCAAGGGAGATATAATCAAGGATAAGATATACATTGTCCATGAAGTTTCCAAGAAACCCTCCCCAAGCATCAATACCCAGCTTCACTCACTCACTGTCTCCTTCCTGAACAGCTCTGCTCCTGGTCGGCAGCTCTGAGCTCCTCCAGCCTTCCAAGGATTTTCCCCAGGATTGCAGAAATCTTGCAGTCTGATTGGATTCTTCCAAACCAATTTTTTTACTCTTTATTTTCTTCATTTAAATATTTCAGCCTTTAAAATGTCCTGTAGCCTGTACTTTTCCATTGCCAAAAAAAAAAAAAAAAAAAACTCAGCATTTTTCACAAATCAATTTATAGTATATAAGTTTGCTTAGAAGGAAGCAGGTTTCTGTTCCGTTCCCAGTTCACTGGGGACAGAAGTGGTAGCTCAGATTCCTCTGGATCCCTTGTATCAGCCCAGCGGGTGCACCCCAGCGGCAGCAGGTGCTACAGCTCATGGCTCACACCTGCAGCCTGCCCTGGAGGCCGGCCCTCGGCCGAGTAGAGCTGGCTTGCCAGGAGGTGTACACAAGTTACCATTCCATACACACTCACACACACACACAGTTACTCATGGCTAAGGACTGAGTCGGGGAAGAGGGAGGAAAAGCCCAACCCCCTTCTTCAGGGCAGGACAAGCTCTGGTGTCATTTATGCTCCAGAGCTCCCCAGGGATCAGGCCAGACTTCGTCAGAAGCTGCATCCTTTCCCAACTCCTTCCTTTTTCCTGCCTTCCCCGCTTGCTTGCATTCGGGTTCTCCTGAGATCACTCCCTCAGTAAATCACTGCGTGGGAAGCTCCACCTCCGGCTCGGCCTCCGGGAAACCTGACCTACAACTGGGCTCTTGCTCCACAGCTGGAGGCAGCAGCTAAATCAATGGTATAGTCCCTTTCACAAACCCTTTTATTTTCCTAAAATGACTGTTTTAAGACTTTATTTTTATTATAAGAGTGATACAAGCTTATGGCTAAAAATTCAAGTGATGTCAAAGGGTATAAAGTAAAACATAAAAGATTTCAACGCCCAGCCCGACTCCCAGTTCCAGTCCCCATAAAGGGAACCAGCAGGCATTTTTCCGTGTCCTTTCAGACACGTCTATGTATACTGAAGCATTAATATAGGTGTTTTTCCATAAATTATATCAGATTGTTCATATTATTCTGCAACCTGCTTTTTTCCACTGCATATATCATGAACTTCATTCCATTATCAATGCAAAGAGATCCGTCTCAAAAATGAGCACCATTTGTAACACTCATTTAAATAGGCGCATTCTCTGTAACTGGCCTGGTCATTTCTGTGAATCAAAACAGAAAAACCAGTAATTTGAAATTTTATTTTGCCAAATGAACAACTTAGAGCTCAGTCTGAGAAAATAATTGTCATTTCCCCTGTCATGTGCCAAAGGAAATGAGCCTGATGGAACCAATGAAATTAGCGGCAGAGCCTTTTGGATTAAGGCCGTGGACTGAGCTGAGGGAAATACAGCTGTCCCGAACAGTGGATGAAAGCTGGTGAGAAAAGAGAAGGTGATTAGGTTCTACTTTATGCCCTTCCACAAAACCACATACCCAGGAGCAAACTATACTTTCAATCTCATGCGCGTGTGACAGCCTGTGTATAATTGAAGTATAGTAGGCAACGAGTATAAGATGGAGGCAGCAGCTGGATATCACAGATATGATAAAACATATTGTAAGATACATAACAAAAAATAATAATGTACCACAGCGAGATACGATCTCTCATCCAGTAGGATGGCTACCAAAACACCCAGAAAATAACAAGTGGATGTGGAGAAATTGGACCCCTTGTGCACTGTGGTGGAAATGTAAAATGTTGCAGCTGCTATGGTCAACAGTGTGGAGGTTCCTACAAAAATTAAAAATAGAATTGCCATATGATCCAGCAATTCTATTTCTGGTTATATACCCAAAAGAACTGAAAGCAAGGTCTTGAAGAGATATGTGTACACCAATGTTCATGGCAGCATTATTCACAATAGGCAAAATGTGGGAGCAACTCAAATGTCCATCAGCAGATGAATGGGCAAACAAAATGTGGTATTTACACATTATGGGACTATTATTCAGCCTTAAGAAGGAGGGAAATTCTGACATATGCTACAACATGGATGAACCTTGAAGACATCATGCTAAGTAAATCAGTCACAGAAGGACAAATACTGTATGATTCCACAAATAGGAGGTATCTAGATTAGCCAAATTCAGAGAAAGTAGAATGGCAGTTGCCAGGGGGTGGGGGAAGTTAACGTTTAATGGAAACAGAGGTTCAGTTTTGTAAGATGAAAAAGTTCTGGAGATACATGGTGGTGATGGTTGCACAAGAATGTGAATGTACTTAATGCCACTGAACTGTGCACTTAAAAATGGTTAAGATGGTAAATTTTATGTTATGTGTATTTTTCCACAATTAAAAATAAAAATTTAAAATAATGTATTCCTCAGTCCTTCCAAGCCTCCTCAGAATGATGGAATCGCCCAGTATTAAATAGCCAGCAAGTGCAGAGTCATTCGGTCATTCCATGCATATGTAAGGGCACACACAGGCTCACTCTTAGTTGACTGCAGGTCTTCTGCCCCACCTTCCGTCTCAGAGTGCCTCTGGCTTGTGGGGGTGGTGAGAATGCTGGTAGAGGGAACCGTGGGAACTATCAGCCTCCCAAGTCAAACACAGGAACCAATGAACCAACCAAAAAAGGGGACGAGATGCTAGCAGAAGTTTCCAGCCCCACAAAAATGATTAGTTCTTCTAGAAGAGAAGCCACCACGAGAAGCATCCCATCCTTACAGAAAAGGGGTTAAGTGTGTGGAGTCTGGACCCAGATTGCCAGGTTGGCACCCCAGCTTTGCTGCTTTCTAGATTCTCGCGTGATCTTGGGCATACCATTGAAATTCTCTGTGCCTCAGTCTCCTCATTTGAAATGAGCTTAGAAGAGGGCTTAGCACATAGCAAGTGGAGTATAAGTATTTGTAAAATAAGAGAAAAGTTCCTTGATTTCATCCTCACTGCATGCTGTGAGGACCGGACAGCTACAGCGCAGTGGAGAGGGGAAACGGAGGCTCAGAGAGGTGAAGTGTCCCTTTCAAGGCGGCGTCAGAGCTGAACACAGCTCTGCTGACTCCATCCCCCTCTTGCCACGCCGCGGCCACCAGCCTCTCCCAGCCTCCTTGGTGGTCCTTCTCCCGAGGCAGCAGTGGAACCAGGGCGTCCAGGGAGCACTGGTGAAGGCGGGCTACCGCTGCCTTTTGGAGCCACCTCCAGACTCTCCTCGCCGCCAGCCCCAGAGCCCCACCACCGCTTTGGCGTTCAGAACGGGACCTGGTAGCCGTGAACCGAGTGCCCTAGACACAGATTGCCTGAGAGACAAGGACCAACACAAGCCCCGGGTGTGGGAAGCCACTTCCTGAATTACTCTGTTACATGGAAATGGATCTCCCAGGCTTCAGGACTGCCCTGCCCTTGACCTGTCTCACCGGACACATCTAGTTCTTGGAAGGTGGCCAAGGCTAGAGAAAGAAGGTGGACCTTTGCATATGTTTCATTTGAATAAGTATTAATTCATGCACACCGCACAAAATTCAAAGGCACCAAAGGGTATTATTCAGTGTAAACTGAGTTCTCTCACACTCCTGTTCCCTCTGCCAAAGCTCTTACCAGAGACCGCCACCGCCTAGTTTCCTGTGCAAGGAAGGACACCCGTAAATCAAATGGATTTGCTCTTTAGGGCGCTGGTTCAGGTAGGGGCGAGCCAGTCTGTAAAAGCTGGTGGGCATCAAGGGACACGGAGAGGCAACTAGAAAGGTATTTCTAAATAGAGTCCACTTCCCACTGCGGACTGTGTGGCTGGGTCATTGTCTGCCATGCCCTCCCTGGGCTGCTTCTCTCCTCGTTAGTGTGGACCCCAGAAAACAGTCACCTTTGGTTTCTTATAAGCCTTTTGTGATGAAGGCTGGGAGCCCCCACTGCCTTCTTGTTGTTACAAAAGAGACCAATTCCTTAATCTGAGTGCCGACAGGGTCAGGACCCAGTGCATGATCTACTCCGAGGAATAAGAGGGATCAGCCTCAGAGATCTTCCCCACCCGCTGCCTCATCCTACCTTCCTTTTTGTTCCTTTCCTTTTGCTTTCATTTCTCTTCCCCACCCACAAGGGCACATGAAACACATACAATGAGGGGTGCCTGGGCTTCCTATGGATTTATGATTTACGGTTATTCATCTTATTATCTAAGTGGCTTTGCCAGGTAAAATATTAAGGCCCCACTGCCATTATAACCTTGTCTTCCATGATCTCATTGGCAGCTGGTGTTGCCATGACAACTGGGCTGGAGAAACTGGTACTGAGCTTCAGCAGAAGATGATGCGAACACTGGTGTGTGTGCATATGTGTGCGTGTGCGCACGCGCGAGCCTGTGTGGATGCAGACCGCCTATCATGTAAACCTGTTGTGCAGGAAGCCATGGATTTTTTAGTCCACACCTTCTGCTTCTCCTTCCAATTTGGTCAAAATTAGCTTCAGGGCTCTAAATCAATTGAAGGAAGCTTTGAAGGATGATTTTTTTGTTCGGCTTTTGAGTGGCAAATTGGAACCGAGGACACATAATAAATATTTCAGAGTCTTTCTACCCACGTGAAATGAACCACTATGCCCACTTGATGTCACTCTTAAAAGCACCTTGGGCCTAATTTATTTAAGACTTTTATGTAATTCCTTTATTAGACATAGAAAGTCGGAGCCCCGGATGTCATCTGGCCTGATCCCCTTTTCATTTCGATGGGAACTGAGGCCCAGAGAGCCTAAGTGACTTGCCCCCATCTGGTATGGTACAGTGCATAAGAGTCTGGGCTCTAGAGTCACTGGTGGGCCTCAAATCCTGGCTCTAGCATGTGCTGACTATGACCTCGGCCAAGGGACTTAACCCCCTACTAAGTCTCAGTTTGCACATCTGTAAAGTGGGGATAATAGCGAGAGCAACCTTATGGGTCATGGTAAGGATTAAGTTACATAATCCACGATGCTTGGCACTTATTAAGCCCTAAATAAACTTTATCACTATTACCCCCAGGCACGCAGGGAGTCAGTGGCAGAAATAGGACTAAAATCCAGCTCAGCTAACTCCTACTTAAACTGGAGCCTTTTCCCATTAATCCCACACTGTTCTTTGTTTCTTTTTGTGTATGTGTTACTCACCTTCCAGGGGAGAGTGGGAGCTTTTGAGACACGGGCTGTCTTC